GGTTCGTCCGAACCCCCGAACCCCCCCTGGCTACGGGCCTGTAATGGGTAATGATAGTGTGTTGATGCTGGTTGCTTGTAGGTTAATCCAATGCTTGATCAATCTGGAGTTACTTCATTGACTGGAGCTAACTTACTGTTTGAAATGCTCTGTGTTCTTCCTGGGGTGAAGTACACCAAATAAACTTATGATAGCTATTGCTTATAAGCCTCCTAATGATTATTTTGATTATTTTTATGCTGCTAAAATTTAATGTAGTGCAAATTGTGTAGATTTTTTGGATTTTTCATAGAAGATTTTAACTTGTAATTGTAGATAGGGGTAGTATCTACATTTGCATGTAGCTCCACCCAAAGCTAAACCACAACAATAGTATGGCCAGCAGGATATTTGTGTATGGTACACTGAAGAGAGGAGAGTGGAACCATCATCTAATGACTAACAAAGACAATGGATATGCTGCACTTATAAGTGAAGGAAGATTAGTGAGACCATATCCCGTAGTGATAATGGCTGTAGAAGGAAAGAAGTATGGCTATTCACCAAGACTCCTACCAGAGATGCCTCCTGATAAACCAGAAAATGTACAGTAGTACAATTAATGTATACATCTACAATATAAATGTACTTCTACTTTTTACAATTAACCAGTAATGGTGGCTAAGGGTCTGGCGTACGTTAGTCACTTGAAGTTTATGCTGCATTATTTTATTCACTTTAGATCGTTAATGGAGAGCTTTATGAAGTAGATTCGAACATGTTAGCTGTTTTAGATGAACTAGAGACTCATCCAATACGTTACAAGCGACTGCAAACACAGTGCATACTGACTGGTACTCCTTCAGACAAGTTTCCAGAGCTGGCAAAAGGTAGCACTGTGGACTGTGAAGTATATTTTTATAATCAAGTGAAACCGGAACATTACTTGCTACCTTTTATTAGCAATTTTAAAAGTGCTGATGTTGCTGATTGATTCATTTGTAATATGCAGTTTTGTTTAAAAATTACTAGTACAGAGAATTATGTGTGTAAGCAATGGAGAGAATGAAGAAAACTGAAGAATTATGAATTCAGAGTTGGAAGAAAATAAAGATTTTGATTCAAATCTAATGAGAGTGACAGAGAGAGCAGAGAAATTATTATTACATGAAGTAAATGAATTCAAAAAAGGAACAACAATTAAAACATAAATAATAATAATAATAATGACATGAAAATACAAGAGAGAAATAATATAGAGTCGATGAATAGAAGAGAGCTAATTATTAGCTTATTATATTTACACTGTTAATGAAACTGCTCCACTGGACATGTATACATACACACTGACTATTGTACATGCAGTTGATTCACTGCATGTTGTATTGTGAGTGTGTATATAATAATAATAATAATGACATTGTGCTCTGGGTGAGCCTCATTAACATTAGATGGACTGGTGTGAGCTAAGAGTCTTAAGCATTCAATAGGATCATCATTGTTAACAGAGACCAATATGCGCTAGAGGGAGAAACAATAAAATATTTATTCAAGAGAGAGAGAGAGAGAAAAGAATGCTTACTGCTGAAAGAGAGAGTGAGCTTGGAGGCAATTCTGCAATGAATCCATTCTCAAGGCACTTTGCTTTTATCAATCTCTCCCTTTTCTCACTAAATACAAAAAATTAATAACAAATACATCATGCATTGTACACAAAATAGTGTATTCAACTAAATACACAATGTACATGTACGTGTAGTTAAGTCTAGTTTTAAAAATAAAGAATAATCTGTATACTTACACAGAGGATGAATTGCTTGGCTCATTTTGTGGAAGCTATACAAGTGAGAATAATATTGTAATAATGATTATACCATAGTTTGTTTTATTGACTTTTAATTTATATTTAATTTTACCTTCCAAAATGATGGAGTACTAGTGCGTATTGTTGGCAGTTTTGACAAATTCAATAATACCAGCATCATCTTCACATCTAATGCACTTCTCATCTTCATTCACGTACTCAAATATCTGAAATAATCTTATGCTATGTTGAGCTGTTTCCAACAAATAATTTTTGAGTCATGAGCACTTTTAAAAATTAGCCAATTTTTGAAAAAAAGGCAAAAACCAATTTTTGAAAAAAGGCAAAGGCGGGCCCATGGCTCCAAAAAAACCTCAACTTTTTATTACATTTTCTGATACATATTGATGTCTTTATGCTGTGTAGCTGATTCCAACTTCAATTTTTCAAGTTACGACCATTTTAAAAAATGCCAAAATTCTGAAAATATCCCTGTACTATAGCCCATGGTTTTTTCTTTAAAAATGGCTCCAAAATTACCCCAAATTTTTATTACATTTTTTGATACATATTGATGTCCTTATGCTATGTAGAAAGTTTGAGCTGATTCCAACTTCAATTTTTCAAGTTACGACCATTTAAAAAAATGCCAAAATTCTGAAGATATCCCTGTACTATAGCCCATGGTTTTTTCTTTAAAAATGGCTCCAAAATCACCCCAAATTTTTATTACATTTTCTGATACAAATTGATTGCATATTTGAGCATTTCACTGGTATGTTCCTAGTAAGTACCGGTATGTAGTCTATTCTCTCC